GTGGACTATCAAATGGCACTCCTCTCAGCGGCTGCTTTTTTACAGTCGCACGGTAGTTTCGGATGCCCCGAGCCCCTTCCACCCGCCCAGGTTTACCCCACCTTTTCAGCCACCCAATTTTTTCCCGGTGTCTAGGATTCCACTCGACATTTGTGGGGTTGATGGCCTCTTACGGGCGGTTCAGGAGCTGTTTTTAAGGACCAATAGCCTAAGCCCAAACACAAATTACATAAAGCCTGAACCCAATACATTCCCTATACAATCCCTATATAACCTTGTATAACCCTAATAACCCATATAGCATGGCAATGGAAATTGATCGGTTCCCCTGATCCCCAGGCCCCTTGCATGAGGGTTGGCGGTTCAAGCAGAGCTCTGTACTTGGCAAGGTAACCTTGAACAGGACCCACAAAAGGGGCCCCTTCTTTTTGGGAACCCCCATGTCAGCGTTGGCAAGTTGATTGCTCTCGTAAGTTGTGCACTTGTTGCAAAGGGTTCGTATGATGAAAGACACTAAACCCTAAATCCTATGACCCCATAAACCCATAACCCTATGACCTAGACCCTATACCCCTATAGCCTAACGCCTCAAGCCCTATAACCCCATAACCCAGTCCACCCAAACAAATCCCAAACTGCACGAAGCCAAGGCCCGGCGCGGTCCTGAAGATGTACGATGACGACTGGCCTCCTTGTTGCAAATGGATAAAGTCCCCCTTAAGTAGACGGAATATGGGGGTTATATAGGGATAATGGAAAAGAGCATGGACACTACTATTTAGGGTTTAGGGTATAGTCCCCCTTAAGTAGATAGAAATTGGCTTTGGGTATAATAACTATAGTATAACAAGATCCCCTATAATCCCATGCTCTATCTTCTCTAGGGGGACTATAACCCTAAACCCTATATACCTAAACCCTAAGCCCTATATACCCCATAGTGTATCTACTTAAGGGGGACTATATGCCTAGGGCTTTGGCTTTGGGTTCCTGGTTGCAGCTGGGTCTTCTGGGCTTTAGGGGTTGGTTTTTGGTTCAGGGCGCGGGGCTGCGACGTAGCATCTCTTGATTTGCTGGCTGTTTGTTCAGTTTTAGGGTGCAGGTTTTAGGGCTTAGGGTTCAGGGCTTAGGGTTTAGTGTTCTCAGAGGCCAATACAGGGACGGCGTGGTGGTGTCTATCAACAATCGGGCATGGTACTTTGGGGAAGTCTGAACTGTAGGTCTATGAGGAAAGTGTAGGGGAAAGTGTTTTCCATGATGGCCATTTGGGGGGACAGGACCCTGCAGCAACTGGCGCATCCTTTCTTCGGTGGATACTGGTCTATGCAGCGATTCCCGTCATGTTCTTGAAAGTACGTAGGGTCTTGTCCGTCCCCAACCC